TGTGGGCATTTTCAACTATTCTGGAGCTGAGGTAGGACACTCATGCCATTTTAAACCTTTATCCACATAATCTGCCCAAGTTGGTGATGATGATGAGCTCTCTGTATCTTTTTGTTTGTTTGTTTGTTTGTTTGTTTGTTTGTTTGTTGTTTTTTTTAAATGCCTTTCTCAGGGACTCTTCAACCATTTAGTTTCTTTAACCGAAGAGGCTAGGAAGGCCTACAAGGACATGGTGTCCGCTCTGGAGCAGGAGCAGGCTGAGGAGGCTCTGAAGAATGACAAGAAGGTCCCTCATCACATGGGGCATTCCCGCAACCACTCTGCTGCTTCAGCCATCTCCTTTTGCTCCATCTTCTCTGAGCCCATCTCAGAGGTTAATGAAAAGGAATATGGTAAGCCCTGTTTCTGTTTCTTTACTATTTGTTTTATGTTATCAGTGTTATCAAAGAACCTCTTTGGCAGTAGTAGCTGGTTGGAGTAGAGTTCGGTTTATCTAAATGTACAGTATACTAGTTGTTACAAACCTAGGTTTAAAGGTCGAACAGAATTTTCTGTGGATAAATCCTGGGGATGGTGAGATGATTAATGGGGAACCAAGGTAGGCAACACTAAGGTTTAGAGAAATATGGTTGTTTTCTTCGACTTTTCATTAATTTAGACTTTTTTCCTGAATTAAATTCAGATAGTTCTATTTGGAAGTATTAACAACTCAAACATGTGAAAGGTTGGGGACTACTGGTGTAATGTTTTTAAGATATTGTGTAGTGTGTAGTTTGTTGAGTTACTTTCCTCACCTGTAATGTTGGTGATCTGAGAAAATGGACCATGTGGTTGTATTTTTCCTTCAGAGACCAATTGGAGGAGCATGATGGAGACTTCTGATGCCCCAGAGCCTGTAGACAGCGAGCTGACTCGCCCTTCACCCTTAACAGGCACCCAGAGAGACAGTCAGGCTCCACCAGTTACCAACAACACTGCCCCTGTTGGCGCTACCGTTCCCCAGCCCAAGGCTCCGGCTCCAGAGAGAGATGAGGTCCGAGCTGACGACAGGCTGGAGCTGGCCTCTCAGCAGAGCACAGAGACAGGCTCGTTGGATGGAAGCTGCAGGGGGCCGCTGAACTCATCCATCACTTCCACCACTTCCACCCTGGTTCCTGGGATGTTGGAGGAGGCTGAGGAAGAGGAGGAGGAGGAGGAGGACTACACTCCTGAACCCATTTCTGTAGAAGTGCCCACTCTGAGCAGCCGCATTGAATCCTGGGTGTCCAAGACCCTGGAAAACCTCCAGCTGGGAAAGAGCCAAGAAAGTACTGAAGAGGAGGAGGAAGAGGATGGAGAGGAGAGGGTACAGAGTGAGGATGATGAGGACCTTGATTCAGCAGAGATCACAAAGACAAAGATGGAAGGCAAAGAACAAGCGGAGGCTAAAAAGCCCACTGGTTGAAATCACTTACACACGTACATTCCCTCCCTCTCACACATCCCTCTTCACAGCAACCAGCAGCCCTCCTCCTTTGTGTCTAGCCCCTGACACAAGTCATAATCTCAGGTATCCACCCAGCTGACCAATGCTCTCTCACTCACACACACACACGCGAACACACACACGCGAACACATTGCAGAGAAACTGACCAACGTAAAGCCACACAGAGTCACAGACCAAACAGCTAACAAAGTCTGAGGGTTATAGATTCACACCAAAACTCATCTGATGATTTTAAAAGGATGCCCTCTTTATTTTTCTTTTCATTTTTTTTCGGCCCCACAACCTGCAACACTTGAATATAGGGTGGAGCGTTCCCTCCTCCACAGCTGAACTCTTTCAGAGTCAGGAACATTTGTGGGAGCGAGCGATGAGCGCTCAATGACGTTGAGCTGGTGTCTGCAGCTCACAGAGGAGGAAGGTTGGAACCTTTCAACTCACATCTTAACTTTATTCAGAGCTCGGAGGGTTTTCAGCTCTGCAAGTATTTGTGTGTTTGTGTGTGCGCTTTGAAGGCACAGTTTGCATTTATTTTGCTCTGTCCTTTGGCTTTAGCTATGTAAATAATGTGTGTGTTTAATTTCACCTCGCTGCTCCAGGAGGAAAAGAGAGAGAGAGGGCGTTTCTTTATAACTGCTTAGTTGGCAATTAGCTTTCATCACCGAATATTACAGTGTCAGGGGTTCTGTCTTTGTACCAAAACCACTCCCGCGCATCAGTTGTCTGTGTTTTTTAATGTTTAAATAAATAAGTGTCTCATTCTGTATTCAGATGATTTCAATTACTTAACTTCTAAGAAGCAAATCAAGCTTTGTGAATATAACCTTGTCTAGGTGGTTCTACTACAATATGTAATGTTTTGTCATATTGATCTTGCCTATTGTCAAATTATTTTGGGTTTGTTTTCCTCTGAATGGAGTCCTAGTTCCTAGATGCTGTCCATGCTTCATAAAAAAAACAAAACAAAGAAAAATGCTCCTGTTTTTTTTTTTTTTTTACTCACTCGTGTTCTCTGATGGCGGGGCTCTCAAGCCGTCTCTTACCAAGGTTCCTAGCATCATTATCATCAACACTGAGATCTTTAATCAATCCCGAAAGTACATTTTCCCTAGTAAATTATGAGAGACACAACTTGGTTGTTACTTTCTCAATAGTAAAGCACTGAGCCTGTGTGTGTAGTTTACAGCTTCATGAAATAATTGGGAAACTGGATGCTGGGAGACAAACGTGTGAACTAAAGAAATTTGTCTTTGCCCCCCCTCAACCAACATTTGATTAAAACTAAAATCCACAGTGCTCCACTACCGCTAGTTAAATAAGTCATCACCAAGTCATGCACATACCTTTGTAAATATAATTGTACAAAGGAGATTTTGATTTTGCATTGTATTAAAAAATACAATCATCCTGTTCTTCAAGCCATTTGGTGGGTTAAACATTGTAATAGTTGGAATCCAATTAGATAAAAGTATTCGATCGTGAATCATGGAGAGGTGTTGGCCCCTCGATAGTGATGCAGTACGTCAGGCTGTATGCAATGTGGAGATGGGACGCGACGGTGTACTGAATATCATACTTGGGATTTTGAAAGTATTTCTAGTTTGATTCAAGGTACGCCGTGTAGGCATTTTTTTGGTATGACTCACATCAAAGTGTTTAAAGTATGTTGTTTGACAGCAAATGTGTTTTTTGCACTATGTAAATACAGTACTGGTAAAGGTCTTGTAACTAATGTGAACAAAGAAAAAAAAATGGTTCAATGAAGTACTTTTTTCAGCGTGTTCCTCATCTTTACATGGATATTTAAGATGGTCTCCTTAAGACTGTACATCATTAACAGCATTGTTAGAGGCTGTTTCTCATTACCCTGTTGTCACTCTTAACCTATGGACTGATGATTAACATCATTAAAATGTTGTTTAAGAAAATCTTCTGACTGGTGCCTCATCTTCTCTCCATTGTTGACCTAATTTGGGTTTATTTATAAAGAGCCAAATGTGTGTTCTTTCATAAACACATGCAGCCTGAAGATCCCCCCACAAAGAAAGAAAAATGATCACAATAACAAGGTTAAAAGAACCAAACAATAAGTTTTAAACCAATAAAAGATGAAAAAGTCTAGAAATTAGATTAGATGAACAAGTCAAAATGAATGCCAAATGAATGAAAACACTGCACAAGAGATGAAAAGGAACAACAGAATTAATCCGCTATGAGTTTCATAATAAAAGTGATTTTGCTCTTGTGGTCATAAAGGGATGGACATGTTAGCAGAAACACTCAAGTAGACTGTTGTGTTTCAATGACACCTAAAACAAAACATTACACCACCGCCAGCTTGAACTGTTGATGCAAGAAAGTGAGACTCATGAGAGAAGGCAACATTTTTCCAATCTTGTCAAATTTTGGTGAGCCTGTGTAACCTGTAGCTCACGAACACTGCACGTGGTGTGCTCTTCTGCTGCTTCAGGGTTCAATATGTTGTGCATTCAGAGATGCTCTTCTGCATACCTTGGTTGTAATGAGTAGTAATTTGAATTTTTCTCAGCCCAAAGCAGTCTGGCCATTCTCTTCTGACATAAACAAGTATTTTCTCCCACTGAACTGCCGTTTGCTGTGTATTTCCCCTAGGAAACAAAGTATTCTGATTCTGATTCTGATTTTCTCTTTTTAAGATCATTCTTTCCAAACCCTAGAGCTACACTGATTTGCTGCAGCGTGGTGGTTGCCGTAAATGTGCAGTTGAACAGAGCTACCAAACAAAGCAGCTCCGAGTTTATAGTTAACAGACGAGCTGATTACTGAAAAAAGTGGTAGCAACATCATATAGATTGTAGTTTTAATAAACGGCCACTAGGAAGGGACAAAACTCTGCCATAGACATCACTCAGATTTCAATATTGCATACTCTTTGACAATAGCTAGTGGTGTGTAATTATTATTTTATGGAAAAAGGTAAAGCTCCATGGTTTAAAATGCTTTTACTGTGAAATTTGAGACTATGGCTGCACCGCTGCAATCTGAAAGACAATCTTTCAATCAGGAATAATACCAGTATGTAAAACACTGTTTAAATGGCGCCTGGAATATTGTTCTGATCGGGATCAAAGGGAAATGCAAATGCTTCAGTTAAATCCTCTTCCTCCTGTGTGTTAATTTGAACAATACAGCCACTATGGGGTACATTTTATTGTGTAAATCATGTCAGTCACGGTACCAGTGATAAAATGTTATTTTCCAAAGAGACAAGTAAGCCAAATTAATGATAATTTATTTATAAAACATCTCTAAGGTGGAAGTCATGTTAGAAGAAAGGAATGGAGCACTGCTTCAGTGTAATACTGAGTGTGAGTGTGTGTGTGTGTGTGCACAGCATGAGTCACCCTGCCTGCCTGTGATTGGATGGTAGTTTATGGGTGAGGGAGGAGAAAGAGAGCCTTTGGGGGCCGTCTGTCAATCTCTCCTCTGCTCCATTCACACATTCATCTGCATGCAGCGTCATGAGAGAGACAGAGGAAGTGAGCGAGATCTCATTCATAAAAAAAAGAGAAAGTTCATTCATACACGCTGCACAATCCTGCTGCGCCCCAGAAAGAAAAGACAGAGGGGAGGAAAGTTGATGTGAAGGTGAAGCTGGGAGCCTGGCAACTGACTGAGAAAGTGTGCGGGTCAGTAGGATGGGGCTGTACTCTGCATGACTAGAGTGGAGCAGACTGGACTCTAGACTTAACAGGACATCCCAGAGTCCTACAGTGGTGAGTTGAATCTGCGCAGCAGGATTCCCTTTAAATGATCTGACGACAGAGCGCACCCGACACAAAGATAGTTTTCGGTCCTGAAACCTGATGTTATTTCTTCATCTCCTTTTACCAAAATCTTTAGTTAAACTTCCTTAATGGTGACCTGAATTTTCAAGTTTCTTTTTTTATTTTACATTTATTTCAGCGTTCTCCTTTGCTCTGTTTCCTGATTATGAGAGAGCAAACCTTATCCAGGTTGAAATCACAGACGGGACTCCTACCAGGCAGGTCGCTTAATCAGTACAATGAAAATCACAGTGCGGCTGATTTGATTCTGACACTTTCTTTTTCATCTTCTACAGGTATGCTGAAGCGTACTAAATACAGTCGACTGCGCAACGATTCTCCAACATCTCTGGAGGAGAACCCCCAGGGAATGTTGCCCCTGAAGCAGGACCTTTGCTTAGACTCTGAATTCAGTCAGCTGGGACTTGGGATAACTACACACCACGGACCATCCACCCTGAGGGATTTCATCCCCCGCATGGCCAACATCCGACTGCAAAGCCCTATTTCCCGGCAAGGCCTAAAAGGACAGACAGACACAGCCAGAGGTAGAAGCATCAGTGCCCCTACTGACAAACCCTTGTCCAGAACAGAGTGGGGTTCAGGAAGTAATGAGAGATTTTGCACTCACGCTTCCCTCAACGCTCCCCTATCCACGGGCCAAAATCTAATTCACCCTGCTTTGCTCTGCACAAAAAGACCTATCACCCTACAACGGATGGCAAGCCTTCCTTGGACCCCTGGATATCCTCCCTGCTCACATCACAGAGGTGGTCTGTGCTGTGTGAAGATTTCCTCTGCAAAAGGTGATCGTACAGTGGTGGGGACAGGAAGCAGAGCAGTTCACCATCACATCAAGGTACCTGACCCTGCACATGTGCATGATCAGATAGAGTAAACCAACATTTTACTTGCCCAAGTAATTCATATTCTTAATTTTGTTAATGTGTGTAAAATTCTTTGTGAGTAGAAATTACCAAAATACTGTGCAAGCTCCTTTTCTCTGTACTATGCAAGTCGTCATGACCTAAAGATATGCCAGATTTCAGCAGTGTTAAATTACTGTTTACTTGCTGCCACGGCCAAAATAAATACACACACGTGAACATAGAAAATACACATATGCATACACTCTCTGCTCTATGCACACCGTCACACAGTCACTCCCCTCCTCAGTTAAAGCCTCCTATGTAGGCAGTAGTGACTCATCCTAGCTCTCTGCTTCCCTCTAGTTCAGTCCTGCTATGTGTGTGAATGCATGTGTGTGAATATATCTAGTATCTGCATGCTGTCCTAGAACAGAACCCATCTTGTCCCGATGGCAGAGGTGTGTCCACACAGGCCTGTGAGCTGACCACTGGTGGAAATGAGAATGGACTGTCTGATTGACCTCTATAAACAAGCACACACATATGTTTCTTCTGCCCGCTCAACCCACCCATGTATACATATATTGATTTAAGTCTGGTTTTTATCAATGGACTTACTCATCCTGCCTCCAGCCTATGAGGTCTGCGATACTGAATCTCCTGCCCAGTAGAAGTGGGACTCGTCATAGTGTATTTGAGCACATGGCCTGAATATTGCCTGGTTGCTTCTCTGTCTTCCTCACATCTATATAGTCTGATAAATTCAGTTACAGTCAGACACATGTGAACATTTACCTCAACTCTTGTCTGGCATTCTAATAAGCTAAAGTAAGACTGTAAAGATTGCACTAGCTACTTGTCGCATGCTTAGAATCTACTGACAGGTTGCACATTAATATGTAGTCACAGCTTTTACTTTCTGCTCACTTGCTTTGCTTAAAACTGCCATCTTGCTTTTGCTTTTGTAAGCTTGAGACTTACTTATTTCTTGGGTATTCCAATCAAAATTTGCTACAAAGATTTTAAAGGTTAGTTTTGGGCAGTAATAACTCAAAGTAATCACTACCTCCGCCAAGGACTGTGTGCCTGTCATTCAGTTTTAATTTTTAAATGTTATTTATAATGTTATTTGTAAGGTAAAGACCCTACAATAATACAGAGAAAACTCCAACAACGAGCATGTGCAGGAAGAAGAATTCCCTTTAAAATGGAAGAAACTACAAACTTCTTAAACTAAGAACAAATATAAATATATACAAAGTACAACAGTATTCCCTTTAAAGTAAATACTGCACAGAGAGCGAGCTGCCTTAGCAGAGGTTTATGCTTTCAGAGGTCTTCTTGTTTTGTTTTGTATGATTTTATCAGTCTTTCAGGTTGTTATCAGTCTTTGTTGTGGAAGGAGTTTGACCCAGTCTTCTTTGTAAGGTTGCTTCAGTTCATTGAGGTTTGTTGGCATTCGTTCATGCACAGCTCTCTTAAGTTTCCAATACAGCATTTTCTGTTGTGTTGCATTCTGGACTTTGGGTTGTTGCAGCACTTTTAGTCTTTTCTTTTTCAGCAATTCTGTTGTAGATTTGCTGCTGTCCTTGAGATCGTTGTTCTGTTACTTCACCCAATTTTGTCCAAACTTTAGCTGTTGCACAGATGGCCTCATATTTGACTCCTAAATATGTTGCTATACAGTGGAGTTTATGGTTGACTCAGTGACTGCAAGGTGTTCCGGTACTTTGGCTACAAAACAAACCCAAATCTTCACCCCTCCACAGCTGTGCTTGACAGTAGGTATGAGCTGTGTTTGCTGATATGCTGTGTTTGATTTTTGACAATCATTGTGCATCATGGCCACACATTTCTGCTTTGGACTTGTCTGGCCATTGTCCCTAATGTCTTGCGGTTTTTGCAGATGGAACTTTGCAAACCTAAGCCACGCTGCCATGTTACTTTTAGAGAGAAGAGGCTTTCTCTTGGCAATCACTCAAAACAAACTTGTTCAGTCCTTTTCTAATTGTACTGTCATGAACTTTAACATTTCACATCCTAACTGAGATCTGTAGAACCTGAGATGTAGCTCTTAGGTTTGCTGGGACATCCACTCCCTGGAGTGGCATAGTGTTAACATGGCTGAATACTCCAGACCAGCAAACTACCAAAATGTCTGGTTTTTTAGAGGTTGTCACACTTCCAGACGATCATTTGCTG